CTGGGGCCTCTCCGGTGGCGCAGCCGTTGAGCGCTGGGTTGCGAAGCTGCCCGCAGCCTCTGTGGCGCCGGTTCGATTCCCCGGCTGCTCCCCGGCTCCCGGAGGAGAGTCCCACATGGCGCGCAGACCTCTCCTGCCACCTGCTGCCCCCTCAGTAGTGTACTTCGGTCCTTCTGCCTGCTCTGCTCCCCGCTCTGGCTCTGGTGAATTCTCTCACCCTCCCGTGCTTCTGACTGTACCCAGTGCTTGTATAAATAAATAAAAATAAAATAAAAATAAATCTTTAAAAAAATGTTTAATACTGGGCCCTTTATAGAAAGTTTGTTGAACCTGGGGTTAACTTACTCAAGGGGGAGAAAAACTTTAGATTGAGCAGTTCTAAAAATCTATGAAAGAAAACACAGTAAGATGCCTTGAAAGCAAAGAATGTACTCTAAACTATAGAAATAAATGATTACTAGCTTCAAATATATTAGATTTGCCTTGATAAAATAAAAGTCAAAGTCAGAAATTAGAAGTTTACCAGACCTTGAGAGAAACCGAGAAGCTATTGACAATAGTGCTTTGGAGACTTCAGAGAATAGAATTAACTAAGTAAAGGTTTTCTGCAGTAGTATTTTTTTTAGATATAATTGACATATATTAATTTTAGGTATATAACATATTGATTCAATATTTGTATAGACTAAGAAATGATCATCACAGTAAGTTTAGTTAACATACATAATCATACATAATTATAATTTTTTCTCTTGTGATGACAACTTTTAAGGTGTACTCTCTAAGCTACAATAACACAGTATTATCATCTATCTTTACCATGCAGCTGTACATTATATATAATCCCCATGATTTACTTTATATGTGGAAATGTGTACCTTTTGACCACTTTCACCCATTTTGTCCAACCCAGATTTTATTTGCTTTAAAAATTATTAGTTTAGGGGCCTCCCTTGTGGCGCAGGGGGTTAAGCACTGCACTAAGAAGCAATCCGCAGACTCTGCAGCAAGAGTTAGATCTCCAGTCGGCCAGGGAGCAACCCACATAGCGCAGCAGATCTCTCCTGACTCACCTGCTGCTCCCCTCAGCAGTGTACTTCAGTCAATCTGCCTGTTTTGTTCTCCACTCTGTCTCTGGTGAATCCTCTTACCTTCCCATTCCTCTAGCCTGTACCCCAGCTCTTGTATGCATAAATAAAAAAATCTTTAAAAAAAATGATGTCCAATAAATTTTTGATGAGTTGACAAACAGAACGAACTGTTATTTAAGGCTTACTATATGGGAGAGTCCACAGGAAATGTCTATGCATGTTACATGTTCCTATGTAAATATTAAAATTACATTTTTTTTTTAAAGTTTGATTTATTTATTTATACAAGCACTGGGTACAGTCAGAAGCGCGGGAGGGTGAGAGAATTCACCAGAGCCAGAGTGGGGAGCAGAGCAGGCAGAAGGACCGAAGTACACTGCTGAGGGGAGCAGCGGGCAGCAGGAGAGGTCTGCGCGCCATATGGGTCCCTCCCCCGATGGCTGGGGAGCAGCCGGGATTGAACTGGCGCTGCAGAGGCTGCAGGCAGCTTTGCAACCCAGCGCTCAACCGCTGCACCACCGGGGAGGCCCTACATTTTTTTCTTGACAACCTTATGTTTTTCACTAATTTCTTCATTTCTCACCCACCCCTATTCATTTAGTTTTCTTTAAACTGATGGCTAAGTCTCTGCACCCTTCAACAGTTCTGTAAAATACTAATACAATTTTTTACACACAGATAAAAATTAGATAAAAATTATTTCCCATCTCTCTTCTGCAAAGAGCCATCCTAAATCTTACTCTATGTTGGACTAGTTGTTCTCTAAATCAGCTTAACAGCCATCATCCAGAGACTTCCTTTTTTTAAAGATTTATTTATGCATATAAGAACTGGGGTGTAGGCCAGAGGTGTGTGTGTGTGGAGGGGGTGAGATGATTCACCAGAGACAGAGTAGGGGGCAGAACAGGTGGATCTACTGAGATATACTGCTGAGGAGAGCAGTGGGCAAGACAGGAGAGGTCTTCTGTGTCATGTGGGTTAGCTGCCTAGCTTGGGATTGAACTCATGCTGCAGTGGCTGGCGATAGCTTGATAGTGCTGAGACTTTAACCTCTGCACCACCAGGGAGGCCCCAAAGACTTTCTTTTATTGTCATCTTGGGAATTCATTTTGCTTCTGCTCAGCCCTATGTTACATGCCCCCCACCCTTCCACCCCGCCTTTTTTAAATCCTGTATTTTTCCTCAGTTTGTTCTTGTTTTGGTGAAATACATACACAGTAGTATCATGAAAAAGGATGCATTTGAGGAAATTTTGAAAGTACCATACTTGTCAATTATAGCAGTCTAGACTGATATTTTCCTTAAAACATTCTAAAGCTTTTCTCCATTGTTTTCTAGCTTTCAGTGTTGCTAATCCTTTGTATATGATCTATTTTCTTTCTTGTGAAGCTTTTAAGACTTTTTTACCACTGTCATTCTGAAATTTCACAAAAATTTGCCTTAGTGAGTATTCTGTAGTAATGAATTATGTCAAATATTTGGAGGGCTCTTTTAATCTTGAGACTCTTTTTCTTAACTTCCTAGAAAGTTTTTTTTTTAATTTTTTTTTAAAAAAGATTTATTTATTTATACAAGCACTGGGTACAGTCAGAAGCAGGGGAGGGTGAGAGAATTCACCAGAGCCAGAGTGGGGAGCAGAACAGGCAGAAGGACAGAAGTACACTGCTGAGGGGAGTAGCGGGTGGCAGGAGAGGTCTGCGCACCAAGTGCGACCCTCGCTGGCAGCCACTGATCGAACCAGTGCTGGAGAGGCTATGGCAGCTTCGCAGCCCAGCGCTTAACAGCTGCACCACCAGGGGAGGCCCAACTTCCTAGAAAGTTTTAAAGACCTGTGTCAGGATAGAAAGGGTAAAGTTCCTCTTAGCAGCTTTTCTCTAGACATAAAAGAAGTAGGTTTTGAGTTCCAATTTTTTTCTTTTCTTTTTTTTTTTTAAAGATTTTTTTTTTTAATAGAGGCATGTTTTTATTTATTTATTTGTTTGTTTGTTTTGTTTATACATGCACTGGGTACAGTCAGAAGCCCGGGAGGGTGAGAGAATTCACCAGAGCCAGAGCAGGGAGCAGAGCAGGCAGAAGGACCCAAGTACACTGCTGAGGGGAGCAGCAGGCGGCAGGAGAGGTCTGCGAGCCATGTGGGACCCTCCTCCGGTGGCCGGGGAGCAGCCGGGGATTGAACCGGCACCGCAGAGGCCGCGGGCAGCTTCGCAACCCAGCACTCTACCGCTGCGCCACCTGGGAGGCCCTCCAATTTTTTCTTAAAGATTTATTTTTATTTCATTTATGCATATAAGAACTGGGGTTTCGGCCAGAGGTGGTGGGGTGTGAGGGGATATGAAAAGATTCACCAGAGACAGACTGGGGAGTAGAACAGGCAGTTATACTGAAATACACTGTTGAGGGGAGCAGTGGGTGAGATAGGAGAGGTCTGCTGTGCTGTATGTGGGTTAGCTCTCTGGCCAGGGATTGAATTCAGGTGGTCGCAGTAAGACTTGACTTGAGCATGAGACTTGACCCTTAAGCCACCAGGGAGGCCTGGGATCCAGTTTTATATGTATATGCACAAGGAAGTATAGCTATTCATGCATCTGTTATTTTTTTATATTTAACATAAGTGTAATTTTTATATTACCAAGTTAAAAAATGAAGTACTTGTTTCTTTATGCAATTTCTTCTAATTCCTACTCATAGATCTAATGTAGAAAACTATATACTCTTAAATTAGAAGAATTAAACTTCAAGAATGTTTAATATTAACTTTCTTCAGAAATTTTTCTATTTTAGTACTACTCCATCTTCTCTGGAATTTATCAAATGTTATATCTTCAATCATTTGTGTGTGTATGTGTATAATTAGTAACTGAAAATAACTAACATTCATCTATATAAGGTTTAATAACACTCTAGGTTTTGACACTAGATCAAAACTGTGGTTTAATTTCATGTTTGCAGTAAAGCGGTAATGGCAGTGAAGGAAGGCAATGGGTGGTGATGGGATGAGGAGATATGAGAGTGGGGAAGGGTCCTTAATAGACTGTCTTAGTATAAGCTCAATACAGGGGGTAGGTCAGAAGTATGAACATGAATGTGAAATAGATAATTTCTCTCATTTTATTGGAAAGAAAAAGTCTACTTTCCTTACCCAAGTACACTATAAGCAAGATTCATAGCACCATTAATAGCTCATTAATCTGTGGTTTTTTACTAGAGATAGAGTCTCACATCCCTAAAGTGATGATGGGAGAGTTTCACAATAAAACAAGGTCACAAGGGAATAGGCAGCATTCTATGCCTAGTTAGGATAGTCGATATACTGAATATACACATGGATCTAACTAGATTACCACTCTTTGGCCTGGATCTGATTTAGGAAGTAAAAGCACAAGTCCTAAGTCCCAGACTGTTTTCATTGCCCCATAAATGTTACTTGCCATTAACACAGACAATCAAAATATGAGGATATGAAATATCTAGGCAAATTCACAGAGAAAGAGTATATGTCAGAGGGGAATGAGGAGGGGAAGAGAAGATGGGAAGTTACTGGCTTAGTGAGTATAGAACTTCTCTTGCGGAGGAATGAAAAAGTATGCAAATAAATAGTGGTGATGGTTGTACAACACTGTGGATATAATTAACGACATTCAGTTGTACACTTAAAAATGAATTCTAAATTGTATATTTACCACAGTAAATAACATTTTTTTACATTATATGGTTTATTTAAATCATTAGTTGGTTAAAACTAATGGGAATTATAGTTAATTTAGAATTGTATTTCTTATTTCTTTCACATGAAAGAGTTCACTAATTCTGTATGATGATTCTAAATGTGCTATCAATATTGGTTATTTCCTTTTAGAAGGAATATTTGGAAAACATGAAATATGATTTTAAAAGATCAAAACTCCTTACTTTAATTGGTTCAGGCTGCATCACTGGTGCAGGCATGGCAATGGCACTTGGAGCATAAACCTGGTGATATGTTGCTTGAACTCCATGATCAGAATAAGACTATTAGAAAAAAAAGAAAAAAATTGCCTTTTATTTATTCATTAAAAATATTTATTTAGCATTACAATGTGATAGGCATTTTGCTGCACAACAGAGAAACAGATGAAAAATACATACCTTATCTTTAACTTTTAGCCCTATAAGGGGGAAGTGGTCAAATTATCTGAAATCCTATGAGGTAAGTATAGGGGATGCATGTGAGAAAAGAACTTAATCTGTGGTTTTTTGCTAGAGATATAGTCTCATTTCCCTGAAGTGATAATGGGAGAGTTTCACGATAAAACTAAGTCACAAGGGAATAGGCAATATTCCATGCCCAGTTAGGATAGTCGATATACTGAATATACACATGGAACTAACTAGATTACCACTCGTGAATCTCTCCCATCATCACTTTAGGGAAATGAGACTATATCTTTAGTGAAAAACCACAGATTAAGCTTAAGAAAGCTGGAGAAGTGGTCAGGGGAGTTTCCAGTGGAGCTAATGCTTGATTTGAAGAATTAGGGAAAGGAGAATATATTGTATAATGGCATAGAGGCAACTAAGAACACAAGACTGAAAAATATAAGCTAAAGATGAGTTATGATACAAGTTAAGTTAGGTGGTCGTAGGATACATTGGTTGCCACTAAGTTTTTGACTTACTCTGAGTAGAAGGCAAAGTTGTATTCTAAGAGTGAAGGGGCAAATAAATAACCATTGAAATAAGTGAGAGATAATGATAACATATTAATTTTAAAAACCCAACTATAAGAATAAGCCCTTCGGTTTTTAAATCTGGGAAAAATGCATTCTCTTCATTAACTTATATACTAAAATGCACTATTAAGATAAAGGCAGGCATATATCAGTTTGTATGGAAATACAAAATTAGTATAAGTTAGTGACTATAACTGATAATAAACATCTAATATTAGAAATTATGGATATGATTTAATGCCAAAAGTTGATTCTGGCTAAAAAATCTAATGTAAAAGCATTCTTACCTTATTATACCTCCCCCACATTCTTGAAGACCAGAAAACAAGTGTAACAAAAGACAGATTTTATTAAAATGCCATCATTAATTAAGCAAGAAAATTCTCATGATCTCCAAACCACAAAAAATGTTGAATGTCTACCAGATTCTGGGCAATTTGGATCAACATAAGGAAGAATTTGATGACTCCTAAGATATCAGACAAAAACAGATAGTTCCCTAAAGTTCAGTGGTCTGAAAAGCCTATTCACAAATTCTACAGAGTGTCAAGTACAGGTGTGTGTCAGATCAAGGTAGAAGCTGGGATTATCTACAAAGAAATACAATTTTACACTGCTTACTAGCAGGGGAGGTATTCCCTAGTTGAGTGAACAGCTGATTTGAGAAATGTTTTAGACCTTGTTTGTGAAGTCTAAAATGAAGCATTCTTAGATGTAAAGTAGAACATATATGAGTAAATCAAAGAAAATACAGGATAAATGGCTTCACTGAGGGTCTTGAACAAATATTTAAAAAGAAGGAAATAAGTAAATGTTAAGATGAGGTAGTTATAGATAAATTACTTTGAGACCAGTACATACCTCTGGAACTGAAGCTTCCATTAGAGATAGTGGAGGAGGAACACATCCACCATCTGGTGCAATTTCCACTGGTTGATAAATAACCTCAGAAGGTTGCAAATATAAAAATGGAGCAGAAGAGGCAGGAGACTAAAACGATATATTAACACATGGTTTATTTAGTATATTCAATATTGAGGTAACATTGGTTTACAATACTGTACATGATTTAGAGGTGTATAGATGACTCCCCTCAGATGTACGTCACCACACCATCCCCATCCCCAAGGCATCCATGGTCCTCCACCATAGTTCACTGTGCCATTTCCCCACTTTATTCTCCCCTTTCTCCCTACTCCTCTGGTAGCCTCAATTCTATAGTCAGATCTCTAGGGTTTGATAATGGTTTGGTACAATATCATATTTCTAATTCATTTATGATTAGTTAGTTCAATTAAACCAAATGACTTACCTAACAGATGAGAGAAACATTAAGTATGAGTTCTTTTTCAGGGATAGCACAGAAGTATCGTAGCAACAAACTAGGAACTCTGGGTTATTACAAATTCCAAATTGTGGAGAGAACTCTGTCATTGTAAGTACTAAAAGCTTAGTGGTTTTGAACCTCATATGTAAATTTAGATACTAATTATTGATATATTAAGATCACTTTAAAGTTGTTATTATAACTTATGATATTTAAAATGACATAATGTCTTCTCAGCTTTATGACTTCCATGGAAGTGAGAAAATGTCACTATAATTGACTATTATCAAATGATGGGACATGGAATACTTATTTAGGAGTGATAGTCAAACTGAATCAAAATTTAAAGTAAGGTTAGAAAAATGCTAACATTCCCAATAATTCTAATAGTAAAATGTTTTCATGTTTATTTAACATTCATTTATAAATGCTTTCATTTTAAAGCATTTGACTGTTATTTGACTGTTACAAAAATTATTTGAGGAAATTTACAAATGTATAATATCATTACTTTCATTTTACAAATGAGGAAACAGAAATATGGTGATTAAATACATTGTCACAGGTATCATAGTTAATAGAAAGGGTCTTTAAGTTCTCCCAGCTCTAATATTCATGTAGTCTTCACAAGAACACATTGAAAAAAATTAATACTTACCTGAGGCACACTCCACTGCCACTGTCCTGGTAGACACTGTGCAGGGGCCTAAGATGAAAAACAAAAACAAAACGAGAACCCACCCAGATTATAAACACTTTATATATATTATAGCTTATATAATCTATAACATCTTTTGTATGTGATGTTTGTATGTTATAAACAAAGTTAATTTGAGTAACTACATGCAAAAGAATGAAGTTGGACTCCTGCACCATAACCCATCTACAAAAACTAACTCAAAAGGTAACAAAGACCTACAAGTAAGAACTATAACTAAAAAAGTTATGGAAGAATACAGGTATGAATCATTGTTATTTTTAATTATATAATTTTAAAAAATCCATCAAAAGCAGAAGAAACAAGAGGTAAGTTGGATTTCATTAAAATGAAAAATTTTTGTGCTGCAATGACACCATCAGGAAGTGAAAATAGGGCCTCCCTGGTGGCCTAGGGATTAATCTCAGTGCTATCATCACTATGGCCTGAGTTTGATCCCCTGCCAGGGAGGTGACCCACACAGGGAGCAGCACACCTCTCCTGTCTCACCCGCTGCTCCCCAAAGCAGTGTATTTCAGTAAATCTGCCTGTTTCTGTTCCCCACTCTGTCTCTGGTGATCCTCTCAACCCCCACACCTCTGACCTATACCCATTCTTCTTTGCAATTGATTCTTTTTTTTTTTAATAAGTGAACATAAATGCGCCTCCCTGGTGGCGCAGGTGGTTGAGCGCAGTGCTGTGAAGCTGTCTGCAGGTTCTGCAGTGCAGGTTTGATCCCGGCCGGCTGGCGAGATACCCACATGGCGCAGCAGACCTCTCCTGTCTTGCCCGCTGCTCCCCTCAGCAGTGTATTTCAGTCAGTCTGCCTGTTTTATTTCCTGCTCTGTCTCTGGTGAATCCTCTCACCCTCTCACACATCTGACCTGTACCCCAGTTCTTATATAAATAAATCTCAAAAAAAAAAACCTCATTAATAAAAAGACAAGTAACCCAATCTAAAAATAGGTAAAGGATATGAGTAAACATCTCAACAAAGAAGAGAGACAAATGTCCAATAAGTACATGAAAAGGTATTTAGTCTTTGGGTTATGCAAATCAAAACTACAATGTGATACCACCTCACATCCACGAGCATGGCTATAATCAAAAAGGTAGATGATAACAAGTGTTGATAAGGATGTGGAGAAGTTAGAATCCTCATAAGCTGTTGGTGTGTAAAATGGTGCAGCCTTTTGGAAAACAGTATGATACATCCTTAAAAAGTTAAACATAAAAATGATAATATGACTTAGCAATTCTATTCCACACACGCACAATGGAATTTTATGCAGTCACAGAAATGAATGAAGTTTGATATATGCCACCACATGGATAAACCTTAAAAACATTATTTCAAATGAAGGGAAAGACTATATTTTGATAACAAAACCTGGTAAAGATATCAATTTTAGAATTTGTAAAAAAACCAAAAGATTCTTAGCAAATGAGCAGTTTTAAGGTCACAATGACCTTCTTTCTAGTATTTAACTAGAAAGAAATGTGTAAAGTGCATTTTTTTCTTATATTGCAAAATATTATGTTATATAAATCAGGACTAAAATCTTTCCTGATTACATCTAGCTCAGAGTTAATGTATAACATTAAATTGAATCTTTTCAGAGTATATCTCCTATGGTAAAGGAGCTACATATAGCTATACGTTAATCAGTTAATAAAGGAGGAGTTGGACTCAATAGGTCTCAAGCAGAAAACAACTTTATTCTTTCTCACCACTGCTGCTTTGCAAAGCACTGTGTTATGCCATTCTTCCTTGCCCCTGGATAAAAATTACAACAGATCACTTTTTGGAGTGTGGCAGGTTCCAAATGTTGACTCTCCGGTTCAGGATCTTACTAGATTCTTTGATAATCTCCCTGCTGAGAACTTTTGACTGCAATTCTAGCTCTTGATGCTGGATGTCTACTTCCCGTAGACTCTTTTGCTACTGGAGTAAACTCATTTTTTTTTTTTTTAGTTACTAGAGTATTTGTATGAGAAAAATTAAATGAAAGTTATCTAACAAAGGACTGACAGTATCAAACAGAATTTTCATTGTAATTTAATGTTTACCTGGTAGTGATATGCCGGCTGCTGATAAACAGGCTGGGCTACCATCACAGGGGAACTAGATATAGAACGTGACTATAAGAAGAAAGAAAAATAGAAAAATTATCCTAGGCAAAACTCTTCAAAATTGTTTATAGTTAAGTTTATTTTTTTTTTTAAAGATTTTTATTTATTTATGCATTCTAGAACTGGAGCACAGGCCAGAGGTGGGGGAGGTGAGAGGATTTACCAGAGACAGAGTGGGGAACAGAACAGGCAGACTGACCGAAGTACTCTGCTGAGGGGAGCAGCAGGCGAGTCAGGAGAGGTCTGCTGTGCCATGTGGATCACCTCCCTGGCCAGGGATTGAACTCATGCTATTGTGGCTGTGGATAGCTTCTTAGGTTGCATCTTAACCCCTTGCGCCACCAGGGATGCATGTTAAGTTTATTTTTAATTGTTAACTAAACCGCATTAATTTTGGCTTGTGAATGGAAATGTCATTTTTCTACGTCTGATTGACATTATTACCAACTAAACTGAGTTAAAATCATCTTGGTATTCCTACTTCCACGTGGTTTAATATCCATAATGTTAAAACAATCACCAGAAAAGTTGCTTTTAGTTTGAACTGCATGACCTCCCAAGGTTATGACTGTATAGCAGTCCAAGTATATTAGAGAAAAGCAGAAGCTGAGCTTGAGGTGACATTTCTATTATGGAAACCAGAAGTAGATGGTTACTACTTACATAGTTTTTAGAATTAAGTGAATATTATATATGATTTTGCTGCTGATTTCTTACTACTTACAAATAACATCCTATTTCTGTTATATATTTAATTAAAGCAAATAAATTTATCAAAACATTTGTCAAATTCTATTTTACAAATTTGACATTTAAATGAGTTAATCACCCAATAAACTTACACGTAATTTATCTATGTTTATAGAAAGTACTTGTAACATTTGATAATTTAAAGCAATAGAGTGAATCCCAAATAGATAAAAGTCAGATGTCAAGACAGAGACATTATATTAAGTAAGGTAAAATTGGTTTTAATGATAACAATTGAAATTAATTTCTACAACAGATATGCGGACAATATCCATAATAGCTTCCAATAAGAGATGCAGTTTAACCTCTTACACTGCTGGTGGGAATGCAAACTGGTCCAACCACTATGGAAAGCTGTATGGAGGACCCTCAAATTACTAAAAATGGATTGACCTTATGACTCAGCAATTCCACTCCTAAGTCTAAAGGACACAAAAAACATTTATTTGAAAGGAAACCCACACTCCTATGTTTACTGCAGCACTATATGCATTAGCTAAGATACGGAAACAACCTAAATGCCCAAAAAACAGATGACTGGATCAAGAAGATGTGGTATATTTACACAGTGGAATACTATACAGCAATCAAAAAACATAAACTCATGCCATATGCAGCAACATGGATGGAGCTAGAAGGGATTATGCTCAGTGAAATATGTCAGAAGGAAAAAAATATTGGATGGTATCACTTATAGAAGGAACACAGGGAAACTGAATAAAGGTCAGAAAAAAGACCAAACTTGGAGGCAAACTATCGATCTGAGGCATATATTAGGGGAGGGGAAAGGAGAGGGGTCAAAACAGGGGCATCAAGAGCATAAGGGACTATGGTGACAGTTCACGATTGATATGGTGGTAGGAGATTTATGGGGACTACACCTGAGGTGAGAAATGAAATATTGCTCAAAAATGAGCACTGATATAAGAAAATAAAAAAGTTTAATTAAAAAAAAAGATGCAAGTTAAAACCACGAGATATCTCATACCTGTGAGAAGGACAAATATTAAAAAGACCCCCAATAACAAGTGCTGGAGAGGATACAGAGAGAGAGAAACCCAAATAAACTGTTGGTGGGAATGTAAATGTGAAACATAGAAATACCATATAACCCAGCAATGCCCTCTTAGGCATCTATTCAAGGAATGTGAAGCCACATTGGGACATTTGGCACTATATATATATATTTTTTGGTTTCCATAAATGTGGTAAGTCTGGGATGCTGCTGACCATCCTACAATTTGTATATGATAGGATCCCACAACAAAGAATCATCTGGTCTAAAATGTCAATAGTGCTGATTAAGGTTGAAAGACATCTCAAAGGGTTAATGTCCAAGATCTACAAAGAACTCATACAATTCAACAAAATATAAACAACCCAATAAAAAATGGGCAGAAGAGAGAAACTCCTCCAAAGATGACATACAAATGGGCAACGGGCACACACAAAAAATGTTCATTACTCACTGTCAAGGGAATGCAAATCAAAACCACAAACAATAACATTTCACACCTGTGAGAATGCCCATTTTTAAAAAAAGAGCAGGAACAAGTGTTGGTGAGTATGTTGAGAAAAAAGAACCCTCATACACTATAGGTGGGAATGTGAACCGGCCCAGTTCCCTTGTAAAAAGAGTATGGAGATTTCTCAAAATAAAAAATGGATTTGCTGTATGATCCAACAATTCCACTCCTAGGTATCTATCTGAAGAATGTAAAAACACTAACTTGAAGGGATATGTGCACTCCTATATTCACTGCAGTGCTATTTGTAACAGCCAAGCTATTAAACAACCTAATACCCAAAGGCAGATGAGTGGATTAGGAAGATGCGGCATGTATATATACTCAGCAAAAAAAAATAGTTAAACTCTTTCCATTTGCAACGACATGGAAGGAACTGTAGGGGATTATGCTAAGCAATAGGTCAGAAGGAGAAAGACAAATACCAGATGCTGACACTTACATGTAGAATACAGAGAAATAAAATAAAAGACCAGATAAAGCCAAATCAATAAAGACAACCTAGAAATCTGATTGTAAAACTCAGGCTCCCAGAGGGGGAAAGGCAAAGTGGGGAGGGGCACAGCGGACTATGGTGAGCTACGGGTGTCTTCATGGTTGGTGTGTTCAGGTCATGGTGTTAATGTATAAATCCTGTAACAGACATTGCCAGCGCAGTAACTCAATGGGGATTAAAACAAACCAAAACAAACCAAAAAACAGAAAAGAGCAGAAACAGAAGCATACTAAATTACAAATGACTGTTTTTGTATGTGAGTTTTGCAGGGTTGTGGATACAATTCAACATTTAAAATCAAAAGTATTATTACACAGCATTCACAACTTATGAGGAAGTGATTGAAAAAATACACACCATTCATAAAAACATAAAACCATAGAGTATCCAAGAATAAATCCAAAAAAAAAATTTTCAGACTTTTTTTTTTATAGAAAAGGAGTTTTACTGATGGGTGGAAATAAAATACATAAATTAATGGTCACGAATGGGAAAATTTAGTATTATACTCAAAAGCCCCTAATTAACTTATATATTTAATGTAGTTCTAATAAAAACCTTTTCACAGAACTGAATAAGCTTATAAGATTTATAATAAAAGCAAAGATTTAAGGATAAATGAAAGACACCTGAAGAACAAAATGAGAGGTCTGCCCTTGTTATGCAACAGGATGAAGCAACAGGAATTAAAATAGAATTGGGCAGAGCAAACAAATACACAGATGAAAAAATAAGAGTACCCAGAAAGAGACCCTGACACATGGAAACCTGGTATTTGACAGAGGACTCATTTTAAAACAGTGAAATCAGATGGATTAGGAAATACATAAACTCCAGAATTAAGAATTAAATGTGAAAAACAGCGACACTATAACATTAAAAAAATAAAATATAGAATATATTCTTGTAATACAGATACTTTAAGAGAAAGACACTAAAAACTGAAATAGAGAAAAACATCATGTCAACTTTATAACAAAATATTTGTGTATGACAAAAAATAAAGTCAGTAGACAAGCCACAAACTAGAAGATATTTCCAACCCACAAAATTCATACAATGAACTTAAGAAAAAGATACTCCTAAAAGAAAAATGGACAAAGGATATGAAGAGGCAGCTCATAAAAGGCAAGACTGGAATGGACAATAAATTTGTGGAAATATGGTCAATATTACCGGTGACTGGCAAATACAAAGTAAAACGATACTACTTCAAAATTTAAAAGGTTGGCAGATTATGGTGAAACTGGAGCTCTCATAAGCTGCTGGTGGAAGTACAAACTGGTACACTTTGGAAAGCTATTTGGCAACTCAGGTCAGAGATGTGCATGCTCTACAAATACAAAATTCTACTATGCAGCCCTGGCCGTAGTAGGGGAAGACAAAAAATTTCCAGTGGTACAGGTACATGAATAGGCTTAAGAGTATTAATTTTGAGACCCTAAATTTCATACGTTCTCTTTCCTTATTTGATTGAGTTTGTGTACTATGGATTCTCCTTTTTACAATTTCCTTTCCACAATCCACTTTTCCTTCCCTACGAAAGGTGTACTTCCCATTCATTCTGGATCTAGCTATAAAGTTTTGTTCTGGAATGTAAACATCAACAGGGCATCAAACAAATAGACAATGCAAGAAGGCAATACCCTTAGAAAAAAGAAAGAGCAAAATGAAGAGATTGTATAAGAAATATTAAAAAGGAGGACCTCCTTGGTGGTGCAAGGGGTTAAGCAGTGCACTATGAAACAATCCGCATCCTCTGCAGCATGAGCTCGATCCCAGGCCGGCCAGGGAGCAACCCACATGGAGAAGCAGAACTCTCCTGTGTCGCCCGCTGCTCCCCTCAGCAGTGTATTTCAGTCAGTCTGCCTGTTCTGCTCCCCACACTGTCTTTGGTGAATCCTCTCATCCCTTGCATCTCTGGCCTGTACCCCAGCTCTTGTATGCATAAATAAATCTTTGGGAAAAAAAAGAAATATTAAAAAGGAGATGGTATTTAATTTCATTCAGAGTGGACCATTACATGGTAGTCATGGGAATACTATTAACTCAATTATTTGAACTAGAAAATAAAGTCAGAATTTTCTAATAAGTTTTACTGGGTGACTAGTATTATTCAGTTGGTGAATTCTGTTAACTGAGTCATAGAGCAAACATTTTCATTCTCTTTTTATTGAGATATAAATGACACATAGCATTGTATTAGTACAATATGATTCGCTGTATGTATATTCTGTGAAATGACTACCATGGTAAGTCTAGTTAACATCTATCACCACACATTGTACAGTTTCTATTCGTAAAATCTACCAATGTCAGTTTTATAAAAATATATTTAAAGCAAATCTACAATATATAATGTGTCTAAACTATTTAAACTTTGACAAGTTCCAGACATCAACTTAAAAATGAGTATGCATAGTCATAAGTTTTCAAAAAAAGTTTTAGACAATGTAATAAAAAACTGAAGGCCACTATTCTAGATAAACTCTCACCAAATGCATATAAGATCTGGATGTTCATTGTAGTCTTGACTGTAGAAAAAAATTTAAAATGTCCATCTCCAAAATGAAATATTATAAAATACTGAAATAAGTGAACTAGATATACTAAGATCACCATGGTTTAATCTCAAACAGGATCAACATAATTTAATCTTAAGAACATAGTGTTGAAGAGAAAAATCAGACTATTTGCATGGTATTTAAAAATCACCCAGGGCCTCCCCGGTGGCGCAGCGGTTGAGCGCTGGGTTGCGAGGCTGCCCGCAGCCCTTGCAGTGCCGGTTTGATCCCCGGCTGCTCCCCAGCCACCGGAGGAGGGTCCCACATGTCACTTAGACCTCTCCTGCCGCCCGCTGCTCCCCTCAGCAGTGTACTTCGGTCCTTCTGCCTGGTCTGCTCCCTGCTGTGGCTCTGGTGAATTCTCTCGCCCTCCCGCTCTTCTGACTGTACCCAGTGCTTGTACAAATGAATAAATAAATCTTTAAGAAAAAAAAAAATCACCCAAAGCAGAATTACATATTGTTTAAGGATACATGTCATTTGTAGTAAAAATAACATAAAATGGACAGGAAAAGCTCTGAGTAGGAAAATAGGGTAAGAAAATGGGGACAAAGAGACTTTACCTGAATGTATCATATTTTATCACCCCCATTAAAATGTTAATATTTAAGAAACCTGAGTGATATTATATAGCTTGTTGGTCTCTGAAATATTTCAGACATAATAAAAAAAATTTTGATAGTAATAGATGTAAACTTTTCTAAAATCAAAATACTCACAGGCCAAGGTGGTGGGACAGAAGTTACCTCTGGAGTATGAAAATAAGCAACACCATTATGATAAGTGTAAGGATAGCCAGTAGAAGTTGTCAGATACATTGTTCCAGCTGCTGGCATTATACTGGAACCTAAAGGAAATATTAAATAATATTTGCAATGTTCAATGAAACTTTAAAAATATAATTTCTGAAAAATGTTTCTGATACTGGTTCTGTATTTTGACTTTCAGCATTTTCATTCTACTTTTAAATTATTATTTTAATTAGAAATTTTCTAGTTATTAATTCCAAATTATTATAATTACTTTTGGATTTTAATATTATCATAAAAGATTTTGCCTTTAAAGATGTAACTTTATGGAATATATTTAATTTTCATTATTTATATAAAATTTTCCCTAGTCAAAAATCTTATATATATTAATTTGTGGTAGAAAATTCAGTTGACCACCAAATTTTCTAAGGTAACGTTATTAAATAAGAGAAATCTGATATTTTAATGAATTTCTATAAAATCTAATATTTCAAGAGAACCATAAAAAAACACTGAAAAATACATTAGTTGTCAATACATACGAGGGATCCCTACTTGTTGTTTTCTTATTGCTGGACCAATGTTTAGTTTCTTATCCTTATAATTAAGTTTTTCAGCCTAAAAGAAGAAAAAATACTTTATTATTTTGGCATTGTTTTTAAAGCTATTAAGGAAAAACTAGTGAGAAGCAATTTTTAAAATTCAGATCATAACATTTTTATCTTCTCTGAAAGCAGCAAGGTATTGTAGGAAGTGTTTAGATATAAAATGATCTGGGTCTGAATCTTGACTCCAGTGTTTCAACACTAACTTCTATCTGGAATATGGCCAATCCTCTATTCGAGGATCCTGTATTTGGGAATTCACCTACTCACTAAAGTCAATACTTGTGTCAATTTAGAGGCTGTTAGTTATCAAGCAGCGAGGCGAGAAATTTGGAGTTGCCTGATATATGTGGTCCCAGCCGAGATTAAACAAGAGGTAGCTTTGTCTTTTTGTTTTTGCTTCTATACTATAATCAGGAATAATTTTTGTATTTTCTTTAGTACCATGTTTTCTGCATTTTTGTGTATCTTGTTGGTGATTTTGCTATTTAAAATAGCCTTCAAGTGTAGTGCTAAAGTGCTGATTAGTATTCCTAAGTACAAGACTGTCGTGTACCTTATGGAGAAAATGTGTTAGATGGGCTTACTTTAGCCATGAGGAATAATATTGTTGGCTATACCTTACATGTTAATTAATCAACAATATTTAAAGTCACATTAAATATGGTATTTTAAAACACATAAAACAAGGTTATATATTGACTGGTTAACCGGAAGCTGTGGGGACCTATTGCTGTATTTCTTCTAGACGTAGTAGTTTAGTCTTTGCTACGTCAGTGTTCGTGGTAACTTTATAAAAACATAAACTACTATATAAATGATGAGAACTCACTGCATATGATTTAATAATATCTAATTCAAATTCTAGTTTTTCCTAAAAAAGTTAAAGGTTACATTTGTCATAATTTATTATACTGAACTATTTTATAGGCTATGTACTTTTTCTATGAACGCTTAGACAGTTTTTTATAAGAGGGAAATAATTTCAGTTAACTTCACTGAGATTAACTACTACTCACAGTAGTGTTTTTTCAGGAATTCAAAGTGTTAGTAACTTCACAAAAGATTATCCCAAAGTTCTTACATTAAGCGGAGAATAAGGTGAAAAATTACTATACAACTTTACAACCATAGTCCTTTAATGATTTGGAATTTGCGTTCCCACAGATTAAACTTTCTTATTAATCTTATTATGTACTTATTTATTTAATCTTCAATTTATTTTCTTATAGCATTCATTTTTGTACAATATTTGATTTTAATCTTACTTTCAACTCAATTTTTAAAAGACAAATTTTAGAGATCAATTTTAGGAAGCAAATAAGTTAGAAGAATTTTTTGTAAAGAAACTGATCATTGTACTCAAATTCTATTGTTAAAATAATACCTTATAGGATTAGTTTCAAAGAAAGAAGTTCCAAAAAATGAAGTTAAATACATCAAAAGATCTTACCTCTTGTAAAATTTTTTGTGCATCTTCTTGTGTTTCGAAAGTGATGAAACCATACCTGAATAAATGCATTAATTATTTTCTTAGAACATCACATTAGTTATATTAAGGTTTTAAAAATTTTATTCTTTAAGAATTGGCCACTGCATTTCTCTATGGTATACTAGTGTGTAAAATTAAGGAGACTGATTCACAACTTAATATTTGTCACCTCCAAACTGCCAAATATCCAAAAACACTTTCAGGCCTGAGTTGTATATAAGGTAGGAAAGTATGAAATTCATGTTCTGACTTACAACTTAGGGTGAAATGATTTTCAGTCCTAAGCAATAATCTTTAAAATAATAGGACTTGGGCCTCCCCAGTGGCGCAGCGTTGAGCGCTGGGTTGCAAAGCAGCCCGCGGCCTCTGCGGCGCCGTTCCATCCCCGGTTGCTCCCGGCCACCGGAGGAGGGTCCCACATGGCGCGCAGACCTCTCCTGCCGCCCGCTGCTCCCCTCAGCAGTGTACTTCGGCCCTTCTGCCTGCTCTGCTCCCCGCTCTGGCTCTGGTGAATTCTCTCACCCTCCCGCGCTTCTGACTGTACCCAGTGCATGTGTAAACAAACAAATAAAATAAAGAAAGAAATAAAAACATGCCTCTATAAAAAAAATAATGTTTAAAAAAAAAAAATAAAATAAAATAATAGGACTTTGATTTAAATAGGAGTCAAAGTAGAAAAAAATTAGAAAATTAAAAATTTTACATTTTTTTCTATATTGGTAAATAAATATACAAAGATATCATTTGATATTACTAGCATATTTCTCAAGCAAAATTAAAAATATGTACAGCACAGACTATATCTGCTTTTCACATATAAGTGAAAATACATTGAATATAATTTGGTAATGCTCCAATAATGTACAAGTAGTGTAATGTACAAATACATGATGTTTGCCATGTTTAAGAAGCCAAAATAGGTAGGCAAAAATAAACAAAAGAAAAAAAATGTATTCCCCTAGGGAGAAACTTCAATTTACATAACTTAAGGAAACTGTTTAGAGTAGTGTTAAATATCCTGACTACTATTTTTTTCAATTTGTAATTACTGTATTTTATATAAATTTTCTTTTCCTAGCAAAGGAATTTCTGTATTTGTGTAAACATTAAAAAAAGAGTTAACGAAATAGTTTCACACTAGGTATTTTTGGTAGAACACATACACCACCCAGTGGAAAAAGCGTAAAGTACAGTTTACATTTTCAAGTGTGGTTTTCAATGACTTTAAAAAAGGTATTACACTACAAATTCTACTAGCTAAACAAAAGAGGTACAATCTTACTTCATCCTAATATTGTCAGTCTGAAGAAGTATTTTCTCTATTTAAAAATAGCTTCCCTGAAGGATCTCATCCTTCTCAGAGTAACCACAAGTCATACATTGTTTTTACTAATACAATTTTCTTCCTCCTCATCAGCCCCTTTCTTTTATATCTATAAATATGTATGCCTTGCCACTCTATCAAGGAAACAATCATTGCTCTCTACTGCCTTATCCATTTTTCCAGTAAGTACATTATGTAAGCTACCTTTGTCTTCTCTGAAATTGGCTTCTGTATATACCAATCTATTGAAACAACTCTAAAGTCATTAGACATTTTTAGACCAATTTTACTATTCTTCTCAATTTTCATTCACCTTGACACAATTAAAAATCATCCCAGTTAAGAGTTGTATTTTTGAAATTAGTCTTCTGCTAAGTCTTTGAGGTACAACCTACAGACATTTTCCTGATGTCGGCTTTTTTCAAACAAAGCTCTAATAAAGCACGTGTATCATTTGAAAAGTATATGATTCTTTTAGCTTCCGGTTCCTGAGCTACTGGACATTAGCTTCTCAACATTAAGTGCTTGCTACCTAATACTGAATGGTCCCCGAGTCCATGTAAGAATAACTTTTCAACAAATTAAGAAGCATTATAATGTCCCCTTTCCTTCAAAACATAAGGATAATTTAAATACAAACTTTAAAAAGAAACAGGAGATCAAAAGGTAACAGGAAAGAACAGGACATAGGATTCTTTTTTACAGATGGAACAAAACAGTTAGTAAACAAAATCTAGTGATCCTATAAAAATACAATTGCTACTTCTCTCACCCTCCCGCGCTTCTGAATGTACCCAGTGCTTGTATAAATAAGTAAATAAGTAAATAAATAAATAAATCTTTTTTAAAAAAAAAAAATACAATTGCTTATTCTACGTAGTTTCTACGGTGATACTAACCCCTTGGATACTCCAGCTCTGTCATTTACAATCTTCACTTCTTTTACAGACCCATATTGGGAAAAAAATTTTCTTAAATCATTTTCATTTGTCTAATACATAAAAAAGAAAACACACAAAAAACTTAATATGAGTGCCTTTCATCATAAAAACAATGCATGAAACCATTAGGTTATTAAAATCAATATAAACTCTTTGCTCTATGCACTAACCATACTGTTAAACTATTGTATCACATTTCTTTTAAAGCTGAAATGTTTTAGAGCTGCAAAGAAAGCAACTCTTCAAAGGAATTCTTGTTCTATAGTTCACCATTAAAACAAAATTTGAATTAAGTGTGGCTATAACTACAGTAAGAACATATTACTCTTGGTTCTTGTGGCTCAGAGAGACTCATAGTCATGCAAGTGGAAGTAGGTCATATTGGCCTATAACAATTCTATTTTAATAAGCGTGGTCTCTAAGAAGAACAAGGTTTAACGAATGTATTTTCAAAAGTACTTGAAAGCTTGATTTGTGGTAAGTGAAGTGGCTACAAGATTGAAAGTTTTTAGATACCTTATCTGTACTCAATATACATTTCAGCTATATATGGATATAATCAAAATAAAAATTGTGCCATAATTAGGCTGTAATTTACAATGTCAACAAGGAAGGTTTTGGGATATCTAGTTATAAGTGAAATAATCTCATTCATATTACTTTTTCCTAGAGTATGCACATTAAAATCACTGCAATTTCACTTTCTGGTTCAATTATAACTGTTTGTTCTCATAAGTAACTTTAAATACACCTAGAAAAAATTTTCTTTATAAACACAGGAAAAGACATGCCTTACAGGAGAGCTATTCCTCTTGAGTTCCATTACAACTCACTACTTACATATGTATGTTTAAATTTTGATTTTAAGTTGTAACATAAAATCTGCTAAATTGAAATGACAAATACTGAATTATTCTAAAAATAATAGAATAATTGAATGCCTCTTATTTCAACAAACACAAAAGGGAATCAATGGCAGAATAATGATTTCTATTAGAGATTTGAAAACAAATTAATTCAAACTTCTCAGAATTATTAGTTCAATTTTGCAGTTCCTTTGTTTCAACATAAAATGACAGTTAAGATTATTAAATATTACGAGGGCTAGGTTGTGGGCTTCTAAAAATAAGAGATTTAGAATGTTTGTGACTGCTTACTGCTACAGTAAACTACTTCCTTGCTGGCATTTATCTATGGTTTTAGAAAAGACATAAGGGAGGCAACACTAGTAAATACCTTAGTTATGACTACGCTTTTAACAATGGCCCCCATCGTTAGCTGAGTGGCTTAGTAACCTAGACTAACCTAGCCATATAAATGTTTACATTTATTGATAATTTATTTTAAAAATCATACTAAACTATTTTAAAATAAATTCTGAACACAAATGCCCAACTTGAATATTTATGGTTACTCATTAATATTTTCCATAGAAATAGAAATTTTTTTTCTATTACCATTTCAAAAGAAATTAGTTTTCTTATTTATATTGAGTAAATCAATCACGTACTTAAAAGACTTATTTTTACAAATACACCAAGTGTAACATTTCTCTTGAGCAGGAAAAAAGTATATCCATTAAAACTGTGATAGATTCATTTTAAGGAAATAGTGCGTTACGTCACATATTATACCCTAAAAACACAATTATTATTTTTTTAATTAAGAAAGAGAACTCTCCCTGTAATTTCTCATATGTAATATAGAAACTTGGAAATCCTTTATCTCCACATGACCACACATTCCTTTCCTGTAGGTGTTTACTAATGCCTACCACATGGGGGTATCACAAACTACTATTCTCTGAAAGAGTTAAATGGTTGATTATGTTATTTGATATATCACTGTTAAGATGCTTTATTCTGACAAGGACACAAGCCCTTTGGGTCATCAGATTCTAAGTTACATCATGTAAAGTAATTTGCAAAAGACGAAAGTCTAGGAGGTTACTCAGGAAGCAGAGATAAAAGTTGTTATAAAGAAACAGGATCTCATAGGACATAACTTGTGTGTTTTTAACTGAGTCTTTTGAAAATTATAATCACTCATTATCTGTAATTTTATAAAAGAAAGTATAATTTATATGGTATGGGGAAATGAAGAATAAAGAACTATGAGTCAGAAACCTAGGATTCTAGTCTTCACCCTATCACTGAGTAGCTGATATACTACAGACATGTCAATGAGCGTCACTTTCCCTGTATGTGAACTGGGTAGTTAAATATGCTTTATTTAAGCTAGATTGCTATGGAAAATAATTTTCAGATAAAGACAATCTGAAATCTACTAATCACTATTCAAATGGCAAATATTTCATTATTTTCATAGACACACAAAGAAACAATTTCCGAGAAATAAAATAAATTCTAATCCAAAAATACACTCTGTTGCATGCATAAATAAGTACCTTAAAATCAATTCCTCCTACAAAGATGCGATTAGGGATCACTGTTCCATATCTTGGGGCACTTGTTGGATTATTCAGAGGCCCAGGTGACACAGGATTAGGGGATGAAGATAATGAATCTGTTTGCGTTTGATTTGATGTCTGCTGTAAAATAAAATTATTTAAAAGTTTTAGCACTGGATATACACTTTGATGGTCTGAAAATATGAATCTTTCAAAAAATAATTTAGTCAAAATGGGATTTTAAATTTTACTTTTATTCTAATATTTTGAAGATTATAATTAGTTATGAACTTTGTGTAGCAATAAAAATACAAGAAATGCAGAATCTTACCCACTACCGGTAAAACCTTAAATATGTTATTTAAATATACCTATGTTAATTAAATTTATTATTTAAAGTAGAATATTCAACTCAAAAAGAAGTTTGAGAAAGAGAAAAGTAGCCCTGGACAGTTAGCTAGTTGCTGCGTGGAATCAACAAACAGCTCATTCCTGGCATTAGCCATTGCTCTGTAACTCATAGCTAAGCTGTGGTGTTCTCTTGTTAACAAAACACCAGCATAAGACAAGATTATTCCATGAATGTGATGGGTAAAGATAAAAGCAAGACTACTCCATAACTATGTTTGAACATTGATGAAAACAGAAGTATTATCTACATTATAAGAATAACCAAACATCCCTCTGCCCTGGCTGCTAAGAGTAGACAACTCCTTTATCAATTAGATTTAGTCTCTATCTAATATTCTTGCTTTCTAGGTAAGAATTAGCACACCCAATGATAGGATTACTCCCACATCCTGACATGTATTTACATACCCAATGATTGGATTACTCTCACTTCCTGACATGTATTTCAGAGTAAATCCCTCCTTCCTGATACCTTTAAAAATTGCTGACCAAGAGTCTAAGCACTGAAAGCCATTTCTAACACCCTCCTACTGAGAGTCCCCAAGATGTACATTCTTCCTTGTTGCAACAGTTCAGCAGACCCAACTTTTTGAACTACTGGTTTGTTCCTGGTGATCTTTAGCTAAAAGACATCGACAAGTTAATAAATGCTGACATTCAAGTTCACCATTTTTCAGGTGAAAAATTTAAAGATTAGATTGACTATGCAGCACTATTTACAAAAGCCAAGATATGTAAACAACACAAATAAATGAATGGATCAAAAAGTTGTGGTATGTTTATACAATGGAATTTTACCCAGCAATCAAAAAAGACACTCATGTCATTTGCAGCAACATGGATGGAACTGGAAGGGATTATGCTAGCTGAAATTAGAAGGAAAAAGATAAAATACCAGATGGTTCACTTATATGCGGAATATAGGGAAACCAAACAAAAGGTCAAAAAAGATCAAAACTAGCAAGCTGGCCATAGCATTGAGGCATACTGCAAAGGAAGGGGTTTAAAGTTAGGGCCAAACAGGGAAGAAAGAACACAGGAGAATATGATGACGGTTCAAGGGTGAGAAGGTGGTGTGAGAACAATGAGGACCACAATGATGTAAGAAAAAAATTCAATTAATAAAAAAAAAAGATTAGATTGACTAAAAATTATATAACTCATAGGTATAAATTCTTTATATCAAAGAATTAGGCTCAATACATATGCACAATTTTAAGTCAGGGAACCTAATTTAAACTTTTATAAATACAAATTAACGTAAGCTTTTGCACAAAGGAGACAGTAGACTCTTAGGGTAACATAAAAAAAAAATCAAGACTTGCAAATAGAGTTTTGAAGAAAAATTGAATAAAAAACATGCTAATTATATTCCTTCTGAGGTCACTAAGCAGACTTCTGAGACAGTATGATGATATACTCAATGAGTGCTTCAAAAAGCTTTATGTTCATAATTTCAGTTCTCTGCAGAATAAATATATGAACATGAACATCCAACGTAGGTAATGGGGTTATTCTTTTTCACATTTGTTGTCTTCTTTCACTTCATTGGCCAATAAAACCATAATCCCTAAATTAATCTTTGCAGATGTAGAGAGAAATGACTAAGCCAGCGGTGATGATGAAACTATGGGCTGGACCTTATGAACTCTAGGAACCTCTCTAGTGTTAAGGCGGAAAAACACATACCCCCTTGTGAGGAAGTTCATAAAAACATCTATTAAGACACAGAAAAATCATCACATTTAATAATTACAATGCTGTAGTTTTCAATTGCAAATCCAATCTTAAGATTTTCTCTGGGGATTTGTAACTTTATTCACCTTACTTACAAGTGCCCAGAATGGATGATTCTAGGATGCTTAGTTTTATTTTTCAACTGTGGATTTGTATTGCTAAAGAGAATAGAACAGTTCTAGTAGATACAGTCTTGTCTCTCTGCCTGATTGTTTACAATACAGGAATTACCTCTTTGGTAAATTTAAAATAGTCTTCAGGAAATTCTCTTGAAAACAAAATGAGTTCTATGGATGAACTCATTCTCTAATCTGTTTCTATAGCCATCAACTCATTATTCTTCATTGAGAGACGGATGACTTTAAAAGAACTGTTTTATTCTCAATCTTGAGAAATTAAACAATACTGAGAAAGTAAACAACAACTTTATAAACCCAATTCACTTCATTCTTCGGTTTCTAAGGCCCCTGCTCTTCTATGGGTTCCAACTGCTTAATTTTTCTCGACGACTGACCACTTTCCAACATACGTTTTATTTACTTGTCTTGTTCATAGTCTGACGCTTTATATTCATGAGGGAAGGGTTTTTTGCCCCGTTCACTGTAGCATTTAAAGAAGTGATGGGAACTTTTATCAAATTTTTTTATCAATTTATTTTTCAAATTTTTATCAAAGAAGTGATGGGAACATTTATCAAATGAATGACCGAATAAATCATTTCTTTCTGTTCACGATGTCCCAACCATTAGAATACTGGAGGCTTAAAAAGACGAGATAACAGAGTAGACTTTTTTTTAATACTTTTTTTAATTAATTAATTTATTTATATAAGCACTGGGTACAGTCAGAGGTGCGGGAGAGTGAGAGAATTCACCAGAGCCAGAGCAGGATGCAGGACCGAGCAGCCGGGAATCGAACCAGCGCTGTAGAGGCTGCGGGCGGCTTCGCAACCCAGCGCTCAACCGCTGCACCACCGGGGAGGCCCTAGAGTAGATGTTTTTTAATGCTAGGATTAACAAGGTTCTGGTAGAGGCAATGTCTCAATTTCTCAGAGGCTGGCGTTGCATTTAAACGACAAAGAATGCCTCAAATTACACGGGCACAATTTTGCAAAGGTATGAAAGGCACCTCGGTAGAAGCTATTACAGGGTTAGGAGAATCCTGAACGTAGTAAAACTTCCAGCTCTGACGGGTGTATTAAAATGTCCCTCCAGGGCCTCCCTGGTGGCGCAAGGCGTTAAGCACCGCACTATGAAGCAATCAGCAGCCTCTGCAGCACGAGTTCGATCCCCGGCCAGGGAGCTACCCACATGGCGCAGCAGACCTCTCCTGACTCGCTCGCTGCTCCCCTCAGCAGTGTATTTCAGTCGATCTGCCTGTTCTGTTCCCTGCTCTGTCTCTGCTGGATCCTCTCACCCCCCGCATCTCTGGCCGTACCCCAGCTCTTGGATGCATGAATAAATAAATCTTTAAAAATAAAATAAAATAAAATTTTCCCCCAAAGCAGTGTGCCCGCAGAGCCTCCTCCCCGGGGAAACCAGCCTCGCCCCTCCCAGCCGCCCGCCGCCGGGGACCGGGAAGGGTCTAACCGTCGCGATCACGGCCTCGGCGCTCCGTCCCCTCCGAGGCCAGCAGGCGGAGGCGCTGGGGGAAATGGCCGCGGCGACAATTTCCTCGGGTTCTCTCGGGTCATCATGAACTTGGGCACTGACACGAGGGTCCACCCCCTCCCCACCAAAGTGCGGGAGGGAAAAGAAGGCTAACCAGCGAGAAATTTTGCCCCGCAAACCCGCCAGCCGCAGTGGCGGGAACCCTCAACGGCACCGACCGGGAAGCCGGCCTCGTGAGCCGCCAGCCCGGAGGCCCCCGCGTGGCGCGCGCTGATTGGCTGCCGGCGGGGCGCGGCGGCACGTTGCCGCGGCCCCCCCCACCCCGCCCGGCCCGCGCCCCTCCCCCGCCCGGTCAGACCCACCCCGGCGCGCGCCGCGCTCGTGTGTCGAGGGCGGACCTGGGCCGCGGCCGGCCGTCCCGCACGCCCCTTAGGCCTCTCCGACCCCCCCAGGCCAGTCCAGGAAAGGAGGCGTCGGCCGCCCGGGCCAGTCCACGCCGAGGGCGCTGGGCGAGGCCCGTCCGAAGCGAGCGTCAAAGACGCAGCCCAGCCCAGTTTCGGCGGGAAGCTGTTTCTCAAGCCCCGGACGCCAACCGGGGCGCAGGGCGCGGCCGCCCGCTGTTCCCCGAAACCTCCCGGGACCCCCGCACCCCGACGCCGGCCCAGGACCGGTGGCCGCACCTCGGCGGCCCCACGACATCACCCCACGGAGCCTGCGGGCGGGCGGCTCTGGCCGGCGGTCGAGGGGGCGCCCTGTCTGCGTTTCTCCCCCACAGCAGAGCGGGCGTTTGGGCTCGAGACGGCGCCTCTCCTGCCCCTCGGGCCGGCGTCCACGCGGCTCCTCCTCCCTGCTGCCCGGCCCGGGCCCCGCCGTACTCACCGCGCCGGGCTCGCTCTCCATCTTCTCTCCGCTCTTCAGAAAGAGGGACAGGAACAAACCCCCAAAGTTTGAAAGCACCTCCACGCCGAAGCAGCCACAGCGCGTTTCCCGACGGAGACTCCCTCCCCCTGGCGGTGACGGCGGCGATGGCAGCGGCGGGGGCGCAGGCTCGCCCCCGGGCCCTGAACCTGCCACCTGAGGGTGGGGAGGGGCGGGCGACGTCGCCTCGGGCGGCGGCTGCGGTGCGGGCGGGCGCCGCAAGCGGGGCAGCGGCGCGGGCGGGCGCGTTTCGCCGGTGGCCCGGGGTCGCTGAGCTGGGCCGTCTCGGGGGCCGGGGTTGCAGGCGGTGGGGACGGGCGTGGGGTGTGCGGGTGCAGGACTCGCTTCGGGGGCCACTCTTGCCTGCTTTCGGACGCCTGGGGAGGAGAGAGCGAACGACGGTGCGAAGCTCCATGCACCGCACGCCTTTCCCTCTCCTCTTCTTTGGAGTGAAGTCGGCCCCCGGGACTAGTGGGTTTCGGGGAGTCGAGGTGACCTCAGGCTTTATGCTGAGGTGCAAGAAGCCGGTGGAGGGGCGACTGCAGAAGACTGGTGCAAGGCGCGGAGGGTGGTTTCCAGAGTCAAACTTTGACCCCCGGGGCCTGACGCGCCAAACTCGGGGGCTCCGGGGAAACTGCGGACGTCGCGCTGCACCTGCTGTCGCCGTCAGTCATCCCCGCGGGCGGGGCGGGCGGGCGGGCAGCTGGGCCGGGACCGCCGCGCAGCCCCGTCCTGTCCCGGCGCCCGCCGCGGGCCCGCGCCCTGAGAGGCTCTCGCGGGCGCACCCGGCCGGGCACCGCCTGGCAGCCACACGGCCCAGCAGCGGGTCCTCGATGGAGCCACCGCGCGCCGGAGAGGTGAGGACTGTACGGCTGGGCTGGGGCGTCCTGGCCCCTGTAGCTGTGCGATCTCTTTTGAAAGAAGATTGCTTTGTAGAAAGTATTTCTGAAAGGTAGTGGAGAAGTGCATATCGCCAATATATGGGGGAAAAAAAAAAAAAGATATGTCTGTAGCTTTATCTATCATATATACCCAAGTTGTAAATGATTACACTGGGTAAACTTAGGTAATAATGATGATGTTGATTAGTATTGTATTTAACTTTATCGAGGGCTCATCTTGCGCCAGGGACAGTGTTTTATCATCAGTATCAGTTAAGCATTTCATTCCCACAGCAACTTGGAGATCGATGTTTCTGTTATTTGCATATTACAGGTGAGGAATGTATTTGTGGTCAAGGTCTAAAGGGCGATCTAATCGGTGGTCTCTGATAACTATTCATGATTTTAAACGTTTTGTCTTATATTTTTAAAGAATCAGCAATAATTGTTAAAAATTACACCAGTGATAACTTTTGTACTGTACTGTGAAATTTGACTTTGGGTGATTGTACTTTCAAGATAAGAGTTTAAAAAAATAAGCAGTGTGATTGTGTTACAAATTTTGAATCTGTTCAGAGATTAACTCTTCATAGTATTTACCGAAATAAAATGGAGAACATATTTTTTTCATTGAATACAGTACAACTAAAGCATCTTAAAGATCATGATATATTTCTGCATGCAGTTTAAGCTCATTGCCTCAGTTTTTAGTTTCTGTGGAAACAGAATACAGATCTATTCAAATTAAAATTCCTGTTCTAGAGCAGAATGCTTTTGCTGTTCTGTATCATTAGAATTGATCTAGGGCATCTTTTCCCCAGTAATTGATGATAGTAATTGATGATAGAGTAATCATTACTGTCCTCTATTTGCCTCAATTTTTTTTTTTGATTAAGAACACAATTTTAAAGACTGCCTTCACCAGAGTAGATGCTCAGTCAGCAACACAAAATTAATCAGCAAAATGTAGAAAGCACTGACTGTATTTCAAAGCTTGTGTTGGGTGCTTATGTACTTACTGTATTTACAGTATGGTTATTATCTGTTCTACTTGAAACTACTAATTCTTATACCAAAAGGTGTTTTTTATTTTATAATTTGAGTAAATCATGTGAGACTATACTATTCAACTTAACTGACATCTGTTGAGTTCCTTTTACGTGAATAATAATGAATAATGTTGCATGCTGACATTGGTAGGAAGATGAATAAGATTAAACCTCTGCCTTTGAGGTGTTTGGAAGAAGGGGAGAAAAGACTAATTACTTAAAAATTAACATATTTAAATACACTTTCAATACATAAGACACAGGCAGTGTATATTAAGTGATAAATGAACCATGAGCAAAGGTCACAGTGTCCGAGGCTGGGTAGGGGCACCTTAAAGCTGGAATGCTCACCTGGGCAGGGAAGTGGGAAAAAGACTTAGAGCTTCTGTCCTACAGCACCTCTGGGCTGGGCACATTCATTTATTTATTTAATTGAGGCAACGTTGATTTACAATGCTGTATATATTTAGAAGTATAAGATCATACTCTCGAAGTCTATGTTACACATCACATCCACCACCAAGGCACCCATAGTCATCCATCATAGTCTGTTGTGCTGTCTCCCTTCTCTGCTCTCCCCGCTCTCCTTCCCTTTGCTATCATCAATTCTACAGTCAGATTTTTTTTTTTTTTTTTTTTTTGTGGGACCCTCACCGGTGGCGCCGCAGAGGCAGCGGGCAGCCCAGCACTCAACCACTGCACCACCAGGGGAGGCCCAATTCTACAGTCAGATTTGTAGGCACTGTTATTGGTTTGCTTTTATTTTACCTTTGTTTTGTTTCTCTATATTGTACATATAAGTGACACCATCCAGCATTTTTCTTTCTCCTTTTGACTTACTTCGCTTCGCATAATCCCCTCCAGTTCCTTCCATGTTGTTGCATATTGCAAGAGGTTTTTTTTTTTAATAGCTGAGTAGAATATATCATGTCCTCTAGATCCACTAAGCTGCTTTTGGGAATTTATATTGTTTCCATAGTTTAGCTATTGTAAATAGTGCTGCGGTAAACATAGGAATGTAGATATTCCTTCAGGTATGTACTTAGTAGAAGAATTGCTGGATCATTTGGTAGATCCATTTTTATTAATTTGAGAAACCTTCCTACTGTTTTTCCATACAAACATTCCTACAGTGTAGGAGTATTTCCTTTTACTCTACATTTTTGCCAATGCTTGTTATAGGTCTTTTTTGATTTGAGCCATTCTCACAGGCTTGAAGTGGTATCTCATTGGGGTTTTGTTATGTATTTCCCTGATGATTAGTGATCATCATTTTGTCATGCGCCTGTTGGCCATCCCATCTCTATGTGTTCCTTAGAGAAGTGTCTGTTTAACTTTTCTGACCATTTTTTTTTAATTAGGTTCTTTGTTTTTGTTGAATTGTGTTAGTTCTTTATAGATCTTGGATATTAGCCTCTTATGTGGTATGCAAATAATTTTTCCCATTCAACACGGCATCTTTTGTTTTAGTGCTAGTTTCTGTCCAGGAGCTTTTTAGTTTGATATAGTCCCAACCATCTATATTCTCTTTTATCTTGTTGTTGAAGATGAATCCATGAAGACATTCCTGAAGCCTATGTCATGAGATGTTTTGCCTATATTTTCTTCTGTGTGTTTTATGTATTCAGGTCTTTATACCTAAGTTAGACAGCTTTGTTTTCAATGTATTTTACTACCACATTTTCAGACATCAGTAACTGCTTAACATTTGGAAAAATTTCCATCTCGAGTATTGCAAGTTGGGTTCCGGAGGGAACAGATTCTGGGATTTGCATGCAGGAGTTTTTGGGGACCTGAGCTTGGGAACAGTTCTTGGGAGAACTGTTATATTTATCCCTAGTTTTTCGAGGGTTTTCACCATAAATGGATGTTGAACCTTAAATGCTTCCTCACATCCATTGATATGATCATATGATCTTTATCTTTCTTTTTGTTGATGTGAATTACATTAACAGATTTTCGGGTGTTAAAGCATCTGTGTGTTTCTGGTATGAATCCCATTTGGTCATGGTATATGATCCTTTTAATGGATTGTTGAATTTGGTTTGCTAGGATTTTATTCAGGATTTTTGATCTGCTTCATTAGGGAGATTGGGCTGTAATTTTCTTCTTTTTCATGTTGTCTTTGTTTGGTTTTGCTTTAGAGTAATGTTGACCTCATAAAGAGTTTTGGGAAGTACTCCTTTTTCAGTTTTTTCAAAGATTTTGAGTCAATAGGCATTAGTTCACCTTTGAAGGTTTGGGAGAATTCACATGAGAAGTCATTTGGTCCTGGACTCTCGTTTTTGGGAAGAAAAACAAAATCTTTACCTAACACAGAAACTTTTTTTACAAAGGTGATAGAACACAGTTTCATTATTGAATAAACATAAAACCTGTGATGAGTATCTCAGCAAACTGCTAAGGTATTGTAAGACAGAAAGGAATTTTGCCACCTCACATAGACAAACAGATGCAGCTCATTACATTACAGTCATTCATGCTAACATTACCTGCTTATTTGGTGACCATATTAACTTTATCCAGAAGAAAAACAAACTTTTCATATCTTTATAACAGGTAATTTTGCAAATTGGAGCATAACATCCACCAAAGTTAGGGTTTTACTTTCTTACTGAAAATCCCAGATAGAGGAGCTGTTTCCCTTGATATTTGCATTGCAAAAAGATACAATAAAAAAGAAGGCCCTTTAGGAAACATTCCTGGATTGTGAGAATGGCATTATAAAAATTTTCATGCATTTGAAAAGGAGAGGGAAATTCTGAAAGAAAAGAGAGGAAGAAGCCTCTTATTTTTAATAGGGAGAATTAAGTCTCCTATTTTAAATTTGTGCTTGTCCGTATACTATTTCTGGATCTGTTTAAGGTCGAGTCTCCTTGAAGCACTGAAAATTTTTAGTAGCAAAAAATTCAGAGCCATCTTCAGGTGTCTGAAGTAGTTTCATTGACCATTAACTTTTGGTATACTTGGGTATTGTTATGTTTTGAGAGGTATTTATTTAAAATAGACTGATCCAGTGGTAGCTGTGGTAGGTATGGGAGGCTTTGGATTCTTATTGTGCTATACTCCTGGAGGGAGTTATATAACTTCTGTTTTTCATTGTCAAAATAAGGATGATAGCATCTACTGCTTCTGGTTATTCTCAAGATTAA